TTACGTGGTGGGAGTGTCAGACAGCATGTCGTCTGTTACGTGGTGAGAGTGTCAGACAGAATGTCGTCTGTTACGTGGTGAGAGTGTCAGACAGCATGTCGTCTGTTACGTGGTGAGAGTGTCAGACAGCATGTCGCGTGTTACGTGGTGGGAGTGTCAGACAGAATGTCGCCTGTTACGTGGTGGGAGTGTCAGACAGAATGTCGCCTGTTACGTGGTGGGAGTGTCAGACAGCATGTCGCCTGTTACGTGGTGGGAGTGTCAGACAGCATGTCGCCTGTTACGTGGTGAGAGTGTCAGACAGAATGTCGTCTGTTATGTGGTGAGAGTGTCAGACAGAATGTCGCCTGTTACGTGGTGGGAGTGTCAGACAGAATGTCGCCTGTTACGTGGTGAGAGTGTCAGACAGAATGTCGCCTGTTACGTGGTGGGAGTGTCAGACAGAATGTCGCCTGTTATGTGGTGAGAGTGTCAGACAGAATGTCGCCTGTTACGTGGTGAGAGTGTCAGACAGAATGTCGCCTGTTACGTGGTGAGAGTGTCAGACAGCATGTCGCCTGTTACGTGGTGGGAGTGTCAGACAGAATGTCGCCTGTTACGTGGTGGGAGTGTCAGACAGCATGTCGTCTGTTACGTGGTGAGAGTGTCAGACAGAATGTCGCCTGTTACGTGGTGAGAGTGTCAGACAGAATGTCGCCTGTTACGTGGTGGGAGTGTCAGACAGCATGTCGTCTGTTACGTGGTGAGTGTGTCAGACAGCATGTTGCCTGTTACGTGGTGGGAGTGTCAGACAGCATGTTGTCTGTTACGTGGTGGGGGTGTCAGACAGCATGTTGTCTGTTACGTGGTGGGGGTGTTAGACAGCAATAGTATTATTCAAACGTATTGTTCGGTTCGTAATGCGTACCGAACCGTGAGCCTCATACCGAACAGTCCAATAGAATATGTGTATTGTTACACCCCTTATATACTCAGCAAAAGACTTACTACAGACTGGTCCTCTTCAGGTGAGTCTTCCCCGTTGATCACCGGTAGGCCTGTGGGCTCACTGGTTGGCTGATCATCATCCACAGGAAGTGACATCACTTCCTGTGGATGATGATCAGGATCGGTGGAGATCTGGTTAACTTCTAACACCACCTCTGTCTGAAGACCGTCTGTGGTTTGATGGGGTGTCATCGGCAGCAGCGGGGGGGCGGGGCTGCTCTGGCCTGTGATTGGTCCGTGGAGCGGCTGGCTGATGATGACCAAAGGCACCTGAGGGTCTCCGCTGGCTCTGCGTCTGGATCTAGATTTGGATCTAGAAGAGTTGAGGATGGCCATGGCCAGAGCTGCAGGGTCGGCAGCTGATTGGTTGATGTCCAGAGAGGAGGCGGGTCCATCTGGGAGATTCAGGACGATGACAAACAGGAAATACCTTAAATTATTTTCTTGTTTTCTTCAGTTCTATTCCAATCTTTCTGATATAAAACCTTTTGCTCTGTCTCACCTGATGGTTTTATCTTATAAACAGTCTGTGTCTTCAGTTCACACTCCAAATGTCCCACTTTGTCCTTTAGAGCTTCATTTTCCGTCACTAAGCTCACACACAGCTCTCTGAAAACTCTGCAGATCTTACGAACAGCTTCTCTGGTCATCAGATGGAGGACAGCCGTCAGCTGATCCTGTAGATAAACAACAAGTTATGGCTATTATTTATTAATTATTAGATCAATAAATACATTATAAAGTCCATCTTTAATTATTGTTTCTACTTTATTATATTATTTATTAAATCAATAAATACATTATAAAGTCCATTTTTAATTATTGTTTCTACTTTATTATATAATTTATTAAATCAATAAATACATTATAAAGTCCATCTTTAATTATTGTTTCTACTTTATTATATTATTTATTAAATCAATAAATACATTATAAAGTCCATTTTTAATTATTGTTTCTACTTTATATTATTTATTAAATCAATAAATACATTATAAAGTCCATCTTTAATTAATGTTTCTACTTCATTATATTATTTATTAATTATTAGATCAATAAAGACATTATAAAGTCCATCTTTAATTATTGTTTCTACTTTATTATATTAATTATTAGAACAATAAAGACATTATAAAGTCCATCGTTATTCAATTTAAGTTACTTGAAATATCGTTTATGTGGTCTCGCGTGATTTTAACTCCCAGCAAAGCAGGAAGTGACGGTGGGCTTTTCATCTGAAGCTCTAAGCTCCCAGATAAACGTTTACATGTATGTGTATTTATTCATATATGTTAATATATATTGATGTATAACATGTAAATCTAAATACATGTCTTCATGTCCTCTCACCCGTCTCTCCTGTCCGTCCTCCGTCTCTCGGAGGAGAACAGAGACGACTGATTCCACCGCCGTCTCCATGATCAGCTCCGTCTGACACACGAACGTGTCGGTCCGCTCCATCACGGAGGATCTCTGGACCGGAAACGGACCGGTGTTCCGGGCCTCAGAGACGGTAGTCCTGTCCTGGGTCAGCCGTGTCTGTAACTGTCGGAGAAAGTCTGAAACACAAACAGTTTCGATCTTTGTATCCAATATGGCGCTCTGATTACATCCGGTTCACTGCCGAATACAGACCTTTCAATGTAAAAGTTTTGTGGACAGATGTGTCCAAACACACATCACACAGGACGTTTTATGTTTATCTGCGATTCGGTTTGTCTGGAGGCTCCTGGATCGGAATCTGGATCCAAATCTGGATCCGATCGATTGATTGAATGGAGAGTTCACAGTGTATCATTACATCCGTCTATTCAAACAATAAAGTTACACACTGTAATCCTTCATTATCTCACACACAACTACCAAAATTAAACAAAATGATATAACAATAAAATATAATTAATATGAATATTCCTTGAACTTCTATTTAAACAATGCAGTTACACAATGTGACCACCAGTTGGCAGCAAACACGATTCTACAAGTTTGAATTGAATAAAAATACCACAAAACATAACACAATATAAATAACAATAAGAATAAAACTACAACAAATACAAACTATATAAAAAAAAAATACACTTGAATCTCCAGGATAATGTGTTACTGTTACAGTAATAAGTAGTAGTTATCTTTTTTGTATTAAAATACACTTGCCACTTTACTGTTATTTGTTTGTTTACCATATTTTATTGTACATTTTAATATTTTTCTATGTTTAAATTATGTCTCGTATTATTGCGCTGTGTTTATAGTTTATTGTTTAGCACTATTCTCCTTGTATGTGTAAATAAACAGTTCTGAGATGAATTTAGGAACATTTAGATTGTTGCTCTTTAATTAATGAACACTTTCACCTTCATAACTCTTTCTCAGGATAAATCTATAAAGTATTTAAATGTTACACTCACTTGTGGATTGAACTACAGATGAGGAGACTCACTTTAAATTGGTTGAAAAACTGGTGACGTCATTATAAAATACAGAGAAACGTTAACAAAAGACGAGAATGACTTCATTCTTTTTAGCTGCTTGGGGCGAACATCAACGTTAGCTTTTTAACGTTAGCTGATGTTAGCTAGGCGGTAACTTTTACTGATGATATATATAACAAAAGATTTAAATGTTAGCATGACTGGATAGTGCAAATTTAAATGATATGTTGTTACTCAGAACTTGGTCCTGCCATGTTTTTGATATACGCGGGAAGGTGCGAGGGCCCGTACATTGCTGCTTGCAGCTTTAATCATTATTATTAGGACCTATTGAAATTCAAATGTTTATTATTATTATTATTATTATTCTATGTCTTTCAAGGGGAAAAGGAGGTGCTTGGGATACAAGTAAGATTTAGAAAATTGGCACGCAAGACAGTCGTTGCAAAAATTGCAGTCTGATTGGGGTGTCCAGCTGCGGTATGAAATATTGGCTCGATAGCGCCCCCTATTGAGTAGCCCCAACATTGGGTTTCACCTAGCTGTATGAAATTTGGTAGGTATGTGGATCGTGATGGGATGTACAAAAAATTGTAGTTATTCACTAAACCAAACAGGAAGTTGGACATTTTGAATTTTATGATGTTTTTGACCATTTCAAGGCGTCATACTTTAACAAACTCCTCCTGGAGATTTAACCTGATTGACTTCAGATTTGGTCAGTATGCTCTTGAGACCTTGGCAGTGAAAAGTTACTCAAAGATCAAATAGTTATCAAACTGGCGTGGCGGCAAAAACACATCATTCGCCATGAAACAGGAAGTTGTTGTAACTCGGCCATACATTATCTAATCTGCTCCAAATTTCTCATATGTCATAACATCCTGACCCGGAACACATCTATAAGACAACTTAGAATCATAGTAATAGCGCCACCTAGTGGCAACTGGAAGTTGTAAATTGTGAACTTTGACATCCTGCTCCTCACAGATTAATCAGATCCCTCTAAAATGTTGTCAGAACAGCCTTAAGACCTTGATAATGCTTCATTGTGAAGATTGTAAGAAGTTATTGAAGGGCGGCGACGTGGCGGCTCGGCAAATTTCGATCCTTCGCCATGAACGAATAAACTCATGTAAATCAACTCCACATCATCAGATCTTTACCAGATTTCACATGTTTGATTAGACTCCAGGCCTGAAGACATCTGCAGGCTAATTTTGAATCATAGTCATAGCGCCACCTACTGGTAACAGGAAGTTAAAGTCTTTATACTTTGGCTTGTTTCTCTTAGTAGGTAAATCAGATCAACATCAAATTACTTCCACACAAATATAAGAAGTTCATAATGCCAGTTCATGAAGCTTTTGATGTTTCGTCGAACGCCGTTGCCGTGGTGACGCAGTCTTCGCCGTGAAAAACGAAGGTGCTTTTGAGAGGCTACAAATGCTCGAAACATAAGTAAACTTGGCACACACATTTAAAGCCCCAAATGTAGTTACATGTTATGGTTTTAATGCTTCAGAGTGGCAATTCGGCTCGATAGCGCCCCCTACAAATTTTAGTTTCAATAGATTTACAAAATTTAGTTTTATGTCTGAAATCACAGCTGATCTCATGTTTAATGAGATGAGACAAATAACAAAAATCATTATTGAAGAAAAAAAGAAACTTTTCAGACTCAGTTGAACTCTGAAGTGTGTTTGTGCATATTTCAACATTTAATCTCCCTGGCTTCAAGCTCATTTACATAGACAGGTTTCACCACTGTATCCCAGAATGCTTTGTTTCAGTCTCATGTTACCGTTAACATCACAATAATTAACCAGCTCATTCACATCCATCAATAAATCAATACACTGCATTCATCAAGTCATTTCTTTCTGCAGACACTTATTCATCCACTGCCCTGAAAACTGACCTTCAGGTGACCTTCAGGTGACCTTCACATTTAATCAGAGGTGTAGTTGTCTGAGCAAATAAACCAAACAGTCTCAAATTAAACAACAACATCTCTGGTTGTCTAATGTGTCACAGCTCTGAACTGATTTGATCTGATCTAAACTGTGGTTAAACTGCGGTTAAACTGCGGTTAAACTGAGGTTAAACTGCGGTTGAACTGCGGTTGAACTGCAGATAATGGATGAGACCAAACCAACCAACAACGTGCCAAAATATTCTCATTTTAAAATAGTTATTTTTTCATCATAATAAAAGTTATTTTAAATATAAAAACATCATCACTTACTGTCTTTTTCTTCCACACACAGATTCACAGACTATTTTTTAAATATAAAAACATGTTTGATTGACAGATTTAGGTCATTTTTTTCACACAGATTTTATAAATAACTTGTTTCTCTTTACAGTGTTCTGCTACACAACTGTCAGACCTTAAAATACATCTGAATCTTTTCCAGTGGTCAGATATAAAAATATCCAGTAGAAAGACGACAGAAAGCTGTGCTACACCTTTACGGCCACGCCTCCCAGCGCTCTGATTGAACTGTTAGTTGTTGCTGTTGGCTGAAATCAATTGTTTTTCATGTTTTGTAAAAACTTGAATTTACTTATTTTACATCCTCATAAAGTGCTAAATAATAAATATAAATTAAAATGGTTAATCTCTCCACTGATTTTCTCACATTATTTCTTTGACAGTGTCTCAACATCTGGATCGAGACCCACATGAGGTCACTTCATTTATAAAACTATTCAGATAGATTTGTTAATAATATAAAATCCATCTCATGGATATTTGATTCATTTCTTTAGTTCTCTTTGATGCTGTATTTGTTTGTTTTATATTGATTCGTTTGATTAATAAATAATCAAAGGTACAAATTCATATATGCCAAAGTCATATTTCATGACTTATTTAACTGATTCATGATGTGTAAATGCTAACAGCTCTGGTGATATCTGGGGGAAGTTAACTGATGAATTTGATTCAACTTTATTGACTCTACTGCTGATTGAAGGCAGTGAAGGGTCAGCAGATACTGTCAATCAAACAATGAGAGAAAAACAGCAGTTTTTAACATGAAGGAGCTGTGGATGTGGTGGCCGTGGCCTGATCATCATCATCGTCCTCAATGACTATGTTTACATGCACACTAATATTCCACTATTATTCTGAATGTAATACGGCTCATGTCAGCATATTCTGTTTTGATCATCTGAATTTGGTTAATTTACGGGAGCGTTCTTTGGACGTGTGTTCAGCACATTCACAACATAAACATGACTTCCTGTTCTTCCTGTCTGAGTTTGTTCTTTTGAAGAACTGTGAAAAGAAAAGGTTGAAGAGTGACAACGAGGGAACACCACAGGAGCAAAATGACTGCACATTAACGGTTTAGGGACGAACGTCATGGGGGCATTTTATGTGAATGGGAAAATTAATGGAATACTCTTTTTCAACGGCCACGTTAACAGCTTAGTAGGAATAAGGACAACATGGTCATTGTTTTTGTGTGCTGTATTTCAGATGGCCGTGTCCCAGAACACCGTGGCGGTCTGTCCGGCGGCCGCCGCGGCGTATGGCGGAGGTTGCTTCCTCTTCCAGCTGGGCAGGATAGGAATGCTGTCCTGTTTACAAAGGTTCTTCTCCGGACGCTGACAAGCTTTAATCTCTCGACACAAAACTCTTTTCTTCTCAATCATCTCCATCATGGTGGCGTCTCCACAGAGCCACGGCATCTGGAATCAATCAATCAATCAATATATCAATCAATCAATACATCAATCCATCAATACATCAATCATCTCTATCATGTTGGCATCTCCACAGATCCATGGCATCTGGAATCAATTAATCAAGCTGTTGGAGCCATAATGTGGTTTTGTTGTTTTCTTATGTCTTTGAGGGAAACATGGGGTGTGTACACATGCAGTTCTGACATTGAACAGTGGGTGGCATATTAACCTAAAAGTGCATATATGTAAGTGCCTGGTAATGAGAAACAGGTGTGTGTGGACAGGAAGCTAACAGTTTTTGACCGTGTCAAGGTGTCGTGTCAAGGTGTCAAGGTATTGTGTCAATGTAACGTGTCAGCCGGCATGTGAGCTTGTAGTTTCAAGGTCTTATATTATCCTGTAAAGTATCCTGTATTCTGTTACGGTGTCAATATGCATTTGAATAAATGGATCAACGGATCTAAAGAAAGCGCATTGGACAGTAAAATGTTTGTGGAACACGCGTCCGAACAAGTTCTCCCGTTCGTCCCCCAGTGGCTTTAATATATAAAAATGGATATTTGTTAAAGTCACTACATTAAGTCAAAAACTGGCTTCATTTGAACTCGTATGGATCGTCGTTCGTTGGATTGACCAGTCGACATCGCTAGAGTGAACAGCTGATCGACAACGCTGGATTCAACAGCTGATAGACATCACTTGATTCAATAGCTGATCAATTAGACATCACTTGAATGTTGTGGTTGCTTTGAAATCTAATTGGACAACTGATCATCACTACCACCAAGCTACAATTTTGGACCAATGGACACTGAATGGTCAGAGGTATGTAGCGCTACCAACATGGCCGTGTTAAAAGTTGTGTGTAAACACTTTTATTTACGAGGGTAAATCCAATGCATTGGTTCCAACTTATAGGCCTAAATATAAGAGGAGTATGGGTGGTTTAATTTTGAATTGTATTTAATAAATAATGGATTCTGATATTAGTGTAAAGGTACAAAATCAAGGTTCTATTGTTAATGAGCCAACCGTGGCTGGAACACAGGTCAATCCCAGCACGGCCAATGGTGAAAAGGAAACACAATCTGTCAGTAAACGTCCTACTAAACTGACACAAAAGGTATTAATGGGTAAACGGGACAAGCTACAAAAGGTTCGGAAGGCCAAACTAAACAAAGCTTCTGACCTTAAAAGGACAATTCAAGACCTAATGCATGACAGAGAATATAAAACAGAGGTGCAATGCACTTTTGATAAATACACAACTCTTTGCAATGAAGCAAAGGAACAACATCAATCTCTGTCACAAATATTATCTCATGAAGAAAAAGACAAACATGAGATATGGTTCAAAGCAAAAATGTTGAGTGTTAATGATTTTACTGATGCTGTGAGTAAGTGGTTGTCTAATGCAGACATCTCTAAACCTGATGAAAATGATGATGCTTTTGAGAGTGAAGTCAAACCCAGTGACAGCATTTCCAATGTGGAAACAAATGTTTCTATTGAGAAATTGAGCAGAAAAAGTCACACCAGTTCAAGAACCAGCAAATCTTCTTCATCTGCACGGACTCAGATAGAGGCAGAGAGAGCAGCACTTGAAGCTCGCGCTGCAGCCTTAAAGGAGAAGCACAAGCTGGAGGAGCAATCGGAGTTGCTGAGAAAGAAAAAGGAAAGACTGGAGGTTGACACAGAAATGGCAGCGGTTGCTGCTAAATTAGCGGTATTTAAGGCCTCTGGTCACCAAGCTTTCTCAAACACACAATCAAATGGAATGGAATCATACTTTGAAAAAGGAGCAAGGTTAACGGAAGTCTCTACCACTCTCAGCCGACATGCCAAAGCATATCGACCAACATCTGTGGACTTGCAACAACAACCACCTATACAACAACAGTATGCATATAGGAATGCAACACATAACAGCACGGTCTGTCAACTGAAACCAGAAAATACATCACGCAAACCTCGCATGGATCATCCTCACGTGCAGCTAACAAATCCAGGTGTCATTCAGTCTCAACTTGCTCATAAAGGAAATTATGAAACATCAGCTCGCTGCAACCTACTGCAAAGGCAAAATGAAATAACAACATTGCTTATCCAACAACAGGCCTCTCATTTATTACCACCAAGAGAAATTCCATTTTTTGATGGGGATCCTCTGCAGTACAGAATGTTTATCAGAGCCTTTGAACATTGTGTGGAGAGTAAAGCAAGCAACAGAGGAGACTGTCTGTCTGTATTTTTTGGATAAGTACACAAGAGCTCAACCAAAAGAGCTGGTGCGTAGTTGTCAGCATATGGCTCCAGACAGAGGCTATGCTACAGCTAAGGATCTGCTACAGGAACACTTTGGGAATGAACACAAAGTTACTGCAGCATATATGGAGAAAGCATTCTGCTGGCCTTCAGTGAAGCCTGAGGATGTCAAATCTCTCCAAGCCTATGCCCTCTTTTTGCGTGAGTGTTGTAATGCAATGGAGGACCTACAGTACATGAAAGAACTGGATATGCCAACGAATATGAGAGCAGTGATTCTGAAGCTTCCATACAAGCTAAGAGAAAAATAGAGTCTCTGCATGTGAGCTACTGGAAAACCTAAATCACAATTTTGTTTGTGTTGCTCTCAAGGTCACACACTGTAGATGTGTCCGCGATTGGAAGAGAAGACACATTGGGACAACATTAACTTTCTTAAGGAAAATGGAATCTGTTTCGGCTGCCTTTGCATTGGGCATAGGAGCAAGGATTGCGATAAGCGCTTGACTTGCAAGGTGTGCAGCCTAAACCAACCCAGTGTTCTTCACATCTGCCAAAGAGAGAAAGTAGTCAACACAGACTCAAAAAGGCCAAAAGAACCATCATTGAGTAGCGCACATGTCTCTATACACACATGTAGTCATACAGGGGCCGGTAACAGTGATGGGATTCTATCCATCCTACCAATACAGGTGAAGTCCAATAACGGAGACAAAGTCATACAGACGTATGCTTTCCTAGATCCAGGCAGTACAGCAACATTTTGTTCTGAAAATCTGATGAGGCTTAATCTGAATGGACGGAAAACCCAAATCCACTTAAGAACCATGGGCTCAGGAGCAACAGTTTCCAGCTACATGTTGACTGATTTGGAGATTTCAAGTCTCACCGGGAAAAGATTCTATGATTTACCAGAGGTCTATACCCAGAAGAGGATGCCTGTAAGCACTGATAACCTCATCAAAAAAGAGGAGTTGGCAAAGTGGCCATACTTGGATGGTGTTGGTGCTCCTAGCATTCAAGCTGACGTGTTGTTGATAGGTACCAACGCCTCCAAAATGCTTGAGCCTTGGGAAGTAATCAACAGCCATGGAAACGGACCTTATGCCATTAGGACCCTATTGGGGTGGGTTATTAATGGTCCCGTTCAAGGATGCAGTGATGAGCGGTGTGAGAGTGGCTACCCCACTGCTACTGTTAACAGGATTTCCATACAATACCTGTAGGAATTGCTCAATAATCGGTACAACCATGATTTTAATGAAAGAACAGCAGAAGACAAAATGGAGATGTCAAGAAATGATGTGAAATTCATAACAATCATGAAACATCCAGTCAAGCTTCATGATGGGCACTATAGCTTGGACCTTCCCTTCAAAAGAGAAGAGGTCACGCTGCCAAACAATGTTGCCAAGCAGCGCATTCTTGGATTGAAGAGAAAGTTTGAAAGAAATGAGAAGTTCCATCAGGAATACACCAACTTTCTCAATGATGACATCAGTAAGAGGTATGCTGAACGTGTCCCTGAACATCAACTGATAACATACTTTTCTGACTGGAAAAGGTTGAAGAGGTCAGTTGCATGGATTCTGAAAATAACAAAGACTCTACTGGCAATGAGTCAAAAAAGGAAACAAATGAGTCATGAGGATACAGACATGATTGGCAACAAACGAACAGGAAATGCACTAAATGAAAGCTGTGTTAAGGGGACAAAGTTTGACTCCAGACGATCTTTCAGGAGCAGAAACATCTATCCTTCGCTTCACTCAGCAAGAAAGGTTCCACGAGGAATTGGCGTTGTCAACATCTGGCAAACGTGAAGTAAAAAAGGATAGCACCGTTTACAAGCTGGACCCGGTTCTGGAAGCTGTATTGCTTAGAGTTAGAGTTGGAGGGAGATTGAATAAGGCAGCCATGCCTGAGGAGACAAAACATACGGTCATCCTATCCAAAACCCAACATGTATCCACTACAATATTAAAGCAGATTCACAAACCAAGGTGGGCCATGATGGAAGAAACCATGTATTATGGATGAAGTACTGGATTACAAATGCTAATGCAGCAAGAAGACAGATCTTGTCCAACTGTGGCTTCAGTAAGCACCATAAAGGAAGAGTTCTCGAGACCTATCCTGACAGGAAAGGACTGGTGAGATCTGCACGAGTAAAAACCAAAACTAGCACGCTGGACAGGCCAGTGACCAAACTTTGGCTTCTACAAGAAGCTAAAATATACCAAAGTTATTAGTGACCTCTTACCCTTACGGGAATTTGGGGTTTTTGTTTGTTTTGTTTATTCATTTTATTATGGATTTATTGGCTCCATTATATAAATATCTATTGAATTGTTTATGCCCTCCTGCCATTAACAATTAGGGGCCAGTGCTTTCTTGAATCAATCAATCAATCAATCATCTCCATCATGGTGGTGTCTCCACAGAGCCACGGCATCTGGAATCAATCAATCAATACATCAATCAATCAATACATCAATCCATCAATACATCAATACATCAATCATCTCTATCATGTTGGCATCTCCACAGATCCATGGCATCTGGAATCAATTAAGTAATCAATCAATATCTTCTTGTGTCATTCGCCAGCATTCAGAACCATACAATAGGGTGGATAAACCACAGCTCTGATAGAATTCGAGTTTGGTCTTGATGGTGTACTGCTGTGAGCTTCATATGTTATTCAGTAGCCTTATCGAGACGATTCTTGAAGTCTTCATCTGTGCCCCCATTGTGTCTGACAGTGCTGCCCAAATATGTGAACTCGTCAGTTTTGGGTAGATCTTCTCCGTTAACCTGAATTGGTGAGGGATTTGGAATGTTCAGAGTCAACTCTTCTTTTTTCTTTTTGCTGAACTTCAGGCCAATCTTCTGACCAAAATCACTGAGGGGGGATGTTTTCTCCTGCATGTGCCGATGAGTATGTGAAAGAAGAGAAAGATCATCTGCATAGTCTAGATCAGGGGTATTCAATTAAAATTCCAAAAGGTCCAGATTGAGAAAATCTCCTCGGGCAAAGGTCCGGAACATTACAATAATATCTAACTTGCGCTATTTAGTGCTATATATATATATATATATATATATATATAT